AGTGTGCAAAGCTGTATTCAAAGTGATTGAAATATTGGTTTAGAGTTTCTTTGTTTGGTTATGGAGGCGTCTGGCCGAGTAGATTGCTATCAACTTGACCTTTCCAGGCTCTGAGGAAGGCGAAATCCGCCGAAACGTCAGCTTATTCGTGAATAGAGAACAATAACACCACGCGTTTGCTCAACAAAAATACGAAGAAAATTGCTTGATCAATGCCGAGGTTAATAGAAAGTCGGTCGTGGCAGTTAAAGCTGATTGTTTAAAGGGGCGGTTCAATCACTGGCCAGAAACAGCTAGGTAACATAAGTCTTTCCTCACACACCAATAGGGAGTAGCTCTCACCACATTCACGACTATCCCTATTTACAATTGCCAATAAGTTTTTATAACAAGGACAGTACCTGAGAACTCAAGCATGGATTGATTTTCGGAACCTTGCCTTATCTTTCCAAAGGTGTATATAACTTTCCTAGGGTGTTATATTCATTTTAAAGTTGTTTAACTCTCAATCAAATTTTCAAGAAAAAGAATCCAAATTTCCAAAATTTATAATCGAGAGTATCTCTAAAGGGCCTCCCAAGCTGGAAGCAGTCCGGCGTTTCCATTCGGAAGCCTAGCTTGGAGTAAACCAATACCAGAATCCACCGCCGTCTTGGTATCAAAGTCGCACAGTGGTAAATGTCCCTCTGATCCACGAGGGCTGCTACTGCCTGTCGTGGTGACGACCTGAGGCAAACTTTGGCCAAGCTGTCTTCGGGATTCCAGGGAACCACAATGGCCTAACCAGCAGATCTCCGAAGAGTAGTGATTATGCTGGTGCCCGCATAACTAGTTATGACGGGCCGTTCAAGTATCAAGTAAGTAAGTAATCGAGAGTAGTGGCAAACACCAACAAAACAGGGAAATCACAGCGTCATGTTGGACGAAATCCTGTCTGTTCAACTCCTTCACTGTTAAAGGTATGACTCTAGAAAACAAAAGGTGAGAGAAAACATGACTTGAGAGCTAAATCAATAAAGTACAGTGTAAGTTAAGAAGGTGCAGTACCAGCTAAGACGTAGTTTTACAAAGTTCAAAGAAACGTATTCCGCATAATAAGAGTCATGGATTATTAATGTCGTGCACAATGCATTAAAGATTCAAGTTTACAACAGTGTCAGACTAATCGACTAATCAACACCGACCCTGCTGTGGAATTTTTTATTCACTCACACACAGCGATTTGAAAAGGTATTCCTTCGACCCCTCCCAACGGTTTACCGTCTCACTGTGACTGGGAGGTGTTCATGGGTGTCGGGATGCAATATAGAACGGGAAGTTAATTCCCCGGCATGGCCTCCCGAGCTGAGAAAGAGTCCGACGTCTCCTTCAGGAAGCCCAGCTAAGAGTAAACCAGTACCAGGATCCACTATCATACTGGTATCAAACTAGTCCCATGGTGGCAAATCTCGTTCTGATCCACAAAGGCGGCGACTACCAGTGGTGGCGACGACCTAGGGCAGACTTTGGCCAGGGTGACCTCGTAACTCCAAGGAACTATGGCTAAACCAGTAAAGCTTCGAAAAAATGGAAATTATAAGTATTCCTTCGACCACTAACCCACAGCTTTTCATTATTTTATTTGGCAAGTGTTCATGATATGTACTATATTACTAGCAAGCGATGGTCTTCTCGAATGAATTTCGATCCTGTTATGTGGCTCTGGAAGATTATATCGCCCTTGGACCAAGTAATAGTAAACAGGTAGCATCCCACATTTGCTACACTCTAATGAAGAACTTGCTGACACAAAATAAACAAGTAACAAACAAAAACAACCCTATGCGACTCTTAGCAGCTGTTCTTCCTCGGTGGAAGACAGGTGAAAAGAGCGGCTCTGAAGAAGGCGATTCTGCCGAAACGTCAGCTACGATTGTGTTGTATTTGTGTTATTGTGTGGAAGTAAACATAAGCTGTTTAACAACCTTGCGATTGCTGAGAGAGAAAGCGACGAATTCATAATCCAATGCCGAGGTTAAGAGAAAGTCGATCTTGGGTACTATTACAAGTAACAAAATGCTTACATGAATTGCAGCAGGAATAGTCAAACCAAGGGGGTGGGTAGCATAGCGAGAGTGATTTTGGTCATAATAAACATGGTGCTAGTTCGACTCCGTTCCGAGCCAACCAATTCTCTAATCCTTTCGGGGTCGGGAAATTGGTACCGGACTTGTCCGGAAAAAATCACTGCAATTCGACTGGGAACGTTCCGCTCGGCTATCTCAACACTCCAGGAAGAATCGACTCTACCAGCATTCTTCGACATTCAAGATGAAATGAAGATCCTCAAGTAGCAGCCGACGTCACACGTAAAAGTTGGGAGATTTTCGTGAATAATGGATGCGAGGAAACGAACAGAATGTGAGGAGTGCTGGGACGCGCACAGTAGACGTGAAGACGGTCCATATCAAATAAAAAAAAATGAAACTATGAAAAATCGAGGGTGAGAATATTAGCCGCTTTCTACTTCAAACGAACGTATCTTAGCTCATGAAGAACGTTCCTGTTTGAAATGAAACTGTTCAGATCTGCAGGTCCTTGCCGGTACAATGTAAGTTTCACTATCCTATCAGGATTAAATCATGGCTTATAAAATTCTCAAGTCCCAACGTATTACGGTTCCTATTTTAGATATTCAAGGGCTCTGCCCCTAATAAAGGTTCTCAACTGCAGGCGCCAAATGCCCATGTGGGACCTTCCTAAGTGATTGCAATAGCTACAAAATGAATCAGGCCTCTATTGACCAGTGTTCTGAGCTTGATAACGGCTATCTGGATTTCGCTTTCTAAAAGACAATAATGGAAAGAAGAAAAGATGAATAAATCCAAGCCATTTCCATCCATATTAAATCTCGTGGTGTATAATAGTTCAATGAAAGAGGTTTTATTTTGGGAAGGCTCCAGCTGACTTGTCTACTCCAATAAGTAATTTTCGTGTTGCTTCTTCCGTAATAAACTAGCAGTCTTAGGGAGGAAAAGGGATATCCGATGAGGAAACGATTAGAGTGGAATTATATGTATAGTATTTCAAAAGTAATGTATACTACAACCAAATCGATGTTGAGATATTCACAAAACTTGGACTCCAGGCCATATCGAACCAGGATTACCCTTTCCGGGGGCTCGCGTTCTACACACTGCACCACACGGAGGCCCTTACTCTACGTTTCTCTCAGCTAGTTTTTTTTCCTAACGCTGCTATGAGCAATGCATAATACATCGAACCAAAGGACAAATTTTCCACCACACGAAGCCCCGTTGGCGAAGAAATGAAGAAGGCAGTGGTGTAACCATAATGTGAAGACAACAAACCTCATCTGTCACACCTAGGTCTAAGTTATTCGCCATGGCGATCCGTTCAAGACTGACAGTGAGTCTCCTAGAACGTCTGCGATGGCATCGCTGCCAACCACCAGCTGTTCTATCTGCTATACAACACTGTTCTGACGACTGAAAGATAGGTCCGCTTAGTCCGCTTAAAGGGTAACGTTACGAATAGTGACTTCTTCATCCGAACAGATCTCGAAATCAATGAAATTTTGTCCCAAAGAAGTGTAATTTAGAGAAAAAAAACACAAACCAACATATCGCAAGTATGACGGTCCACTGCTTTCGAATGATCGTTAACTTCCGTTTCACTTCCCTTAAATGATGGGATTTGGTTTTTGAGGTGTTACGGCTGGCTGCATAGCATAAGAAAGTAGTATTCCACTGAAAATGGTAATAGGACAATGAAAATAAAATAAGCCTAATAGGCTTACATAAGACATTTGAGACGAGCTATCGGTGTTGAAGAGCGAACTCTGTGCTCGAGTGTGTTCCAGCCTCGACACGTGGTCGAATAGCTGTCTTCTGAACTCATTAAATTCCTCTAGAGACATTTCTGAAAAGCGCTGAAACCATGGAGTAGGAGGACGAAACCAGATCAAAACGCCAAAACGACGACAACACTGAAACGAGAAGAAAAATTCACATCCAGTAATTCCCCTATATCATCATACGTGAAGGAGACACTGGTCCAATTTGGTCAATATCTAATGAGCAATACTTGTAGCCAAGAGCTAAACGAAACAAAAGTTTGTGCAAAACTTCAGCCAGGTCTTCTTTTTCTCAATACGTACAGCCAAAGGTTGACCGACAAATAAAGCGGCCAGTAAAGATGTTATGAGAAGCAGAAGGGACGAAAAACATTGGAATAGAGAAAAAGATTCATTGACATCAGTAATAACAACTAGTTTATGTGAGTGGACTTTCAGGATAAATTCAACGCGTTTTAGAGGAGCTTCTCGGCGACTGCTAACTGTCTCCTCGACGACTGGAATACTTGAAAACTTGAAGATTCGTTAGGGGCTTAGAGAAAAGACTTCACTCTACTGTTCTAAGCGTCTATACACTCTCTCTGGAGTATCGCCTTCACTAGAGATCGAAAGAATCGGTTTCTCATATATCCCCGCTGGACGCGCTCCATTCGCAAACATCACCGCGCTCCATTCGCATTACGTGGTGAACATTAAACTCTCCTCTCACAATTAGTTAACATGCACTAGTTACATTCAAATTACTTATCTGTACGGCGTATATTAAGTCGTTTTTTTCGCATATGCAAATATCTGTGTCGCATAGATGACCGTACGTATTGATTTCAATGCTCACTCTCTTTTCGACTGTTTATCTTGCAGCTAAGAGTTTATTTGCTGTACTTTTTACATTTCCTCGATATCTTATCCAAAGCAGACGTCCCAGACGTACTCCAGAAAGAACCAACGCCTTAAATAACAATTTACGAGTACCTTTTTCCAGACGAATTTCTCAGTGCTAATTGCTCAAGGCGAAATATTGGGCCTAGTTGCTTATGTAGTGTTATCGGCTCGAAACTTTCTCTTTGCTCATTGTCTTTCTTCAATTGCTGCTTAAGTATTTCTTACTGCATATTGCTTGCAGCATCTGTTGTGCTTCAGGTTCATGTCCGTTTCCGGCAAAGAGGATGTGTACGAAAGTGAGGATTTGCCCGAATCGGAGCAATTCATCAGCAGGTTTTCTGCGAGAACAATTGAGGAGCCAAGCGATCGAGAGAACATAGAACTGGTTGGCATTTACCATACACACCAATGCAGTAACTTTTGACAGAATATTAATTCCGTACTGAGTCTTTGATAGGTTTTTAGTTTTTGAAACGTTGAAAATAAGTGTCAGTCTGGTGACTTGGTGGATTAGTGGATACTAAAGTTTCAAATTTTCCAGTTTTTTGTTCAGATCCATATAGATGTTGATGCAGCTCGGAAGCGATTCAAAGATCATACCTTAAATATCCGTGGTATAGGTGAGTCGTCTGTCATATTTTTCCGACTTTGAACTGCTTTTCTCACCAGTTGTCTTGAAGATTTCTCCGATTCAATTGCCAAGAAACGAGGAAAGTCGTATGGGAGTTCCATGTATGTGCTTGAAGTTGTGGGCAAAGGTTAATTTCAAGCTTTATTTCTTAGTATTCTTTACTTCTCACCTCGTAACTAACAGCTTTAACTTCAAAGTGTACAGAATATGATGAACCTGAAACGATAGAGCAGAAGTACAATAGATTATCATGCGAGATTGATGAGTTGGCAAAGCAGCTACAGGTAGATTTCGAAATATTCTTTTGAGTTTCTTCACTCTATAAAACCTTTTGCAACTGTTTTTGTTGTAGGAGAATGCTGTGAAGCCTACTCTCTTGGTTAATGATTCATCAGTTGCTGAGCTTGCAGATGAATTGAAGGTGAGCGTTCACTTTGCTATTTCTTTTCGTTTCACTGGCTTGTGCAACTTTGCCACGCCTTCTTTTACTCAAATGTATATCTAGTTAAGGCCGTAAAAGTGTCGAAATCGTCAGGTAATCTTCCCAAGAATAAAGACAAGAAAACGCCTTCGGTTAATGCTGACACCTCGGAAAGTGGGAAGGTAAATTTCAAAATCAGTCCCCGGTTTTGTTCTGTTCTATCTCCTCTTTCTTCATTTTTCTTTTCCTAACGATAATATTTGGCTGATCTATCTTCACTGCGCTTCCCATCCGTTTTTTTCACCAGTATGTTGCTGATTTGCTAAGATTTTCCTACTGGAAACAAAAAAAAAGTGAGTGACGAGTCCCAGTTCGTCACTACAACCAGTAGTTGGTAGCTGTGGTTCCGAACGTATTGCACCCCTTTTACCAATTAAGTTTCTGCCAACACTGCGGCAATTGCACCCACTTCATCGTGATTAGATTGCATTCTTGTGTGTCGAACTGAGGTGTACAATGCAGTTGGGGATTACCTTTAGGAGAGCATCTAACGAGAGAAGTTGATTCTTCCGTTTCTCAGTCCATATAAAAGGAAAAACTTACACAGTATCAGAGCTGAAGATGCTAGGTCTGACTACTTTCATGCCAAAATTGTGGAATTAGAGAGGCCATTCCAAAATTGCATTGGTTTTTCTTCCTACCAAACGATCACATCATACTTTTTATTACGTTTTTCAGCTCTTGTCGCTGGAACAACGCTTACGTAGAATCGAGTCTTTAATAGGGTCGGTGGACACAGTTCATCAACCTGTTGCAGATTCTATTGAAGACATTAGGTGGGTTTGTCCTCTGAGGCAGAAAGTTGTGTTATTTCACGTTGCACTCTATATGAAATAGATATGTTTTTCGTAGTCCAGAGATGTGGGATGATAATATATGGTCATCTGATCATAAAAGGGATATTTTAGTTAGCAGTTGCCAGCAGATCATCGCAGTTTGTGTGAAATTCTATGTTATCTAGATTCCGTTTGGAAGCCTTGAATCCTTCCTATATCGATGGAATAGAATCGAAGTTAAATGCGTTGTTGTCAAAGCTTGACCAGGTGAGAAAATGATCGACCTTATATTACTTCGAAATGACTATAGTAACAGATTCATCTTTGGGAGCTGTTTTGTTTTAGAGTGTTGTGTTTCTATCTTTTATGTAGATAAGAAGAAATAAGGACGCTGTGCTCGTTCCAGGTTGATGATAAAAGACGTAAAGTTCTCGACGATGAAATGGAAACAAAAGTCAATGAGTTGTTGGAACTTATGACTAAGTGGGATGTTGCTTGTGCTGCAATGCCTATCAACATAAAAAGGCTGCAGGGACTACATCGACTCCATGAGCAAGGTTTTAATCCAAAAACGTGTTTTTTCTTACAGCATTTGCTGAGGTTATTTGATTCCTCTTTTCGTATTTTGGAATTGCTTTAGCTCAACATTTCTCGGAAAGACTAGCGCAGCTAGTTGGAGTTCGTGACCAGATAGAAAAAGCTATTGCTGCTGATCGCATGGCAATGTGTGAGCTGCAGGTTTGTAGCGAAGTCATCCGTTCAGTTTATGCATAGGTTAATTGACTACTTCAGTTAATAAGTTGATCTGACTCATTTTCGGATTCTTAAGACCACATGTCATTGGAGCGGAATTGAAATGCGCATTGAAATCAAGATGTAGGGTCCAAAGCATACACTACCGGCATACCTATTGAAACCAATGTACATGCTCATGAAAGGATTAAAATATCGATGATTTTTATAATTTCCATTGTTCGGGCTTAACTTTTATGCTTTTCATCTAAGGTCGTGCTGTGTATATTTTGAACTTATCATTGAATGTATTTACGATCTAAGTAATGTCTTAAGTTAATTGTTCCATACTTGACCAAATAACGTTAAATGGGGTAGAAGAGATGGTTTGCTGAAGATGGCTAATCTAATATGGTTAAAATGGTTTTTAATGCTAATTTTAGGTGAAAGCCAAAGAGGATATCACGGCCGTTCTTCGTCAGATCACTAATCTTGAAGAACGACTCAAAAAACTCGGGAAATGAGTTCGGCTTTCTCCACGTTTTCGCTGTGATGAGGAAAATTTGTTTCATTAGTCCCATAAATTATTTCGAGCGATGGCTGTAATTGTATGTTATTTTCATTTCTAATCTGTCAAGTTCCTAGTCCAGTTAATTAAACATTTTTACAAATCCGTTCAATTTGTCTTCGCGCAGGCGTACATTGAGTTCATTTCGTACAATCTTAAATTCTGCCAGAGCATTACTTAGCATCTTCTTAGTACGGCTTTCAATGTATTGTGTGGTAACATCAAATTAAAAGCAGTAGCAAGCATGCTATCGTCGTGAGAGATTGGTGTAGACAGATAGATGGCCTGTTCAAACAACTTTTCTGGTCTGTGATGACTAGAAATACCTTTGATTGGACCACAAGAAGTACAGACATCGTGTTTGGGGAGCTGCAGGACCAGCACTTTCGCGACATTGAGCCGATGGCGAGGCAATAGACAAGACATGGCGGTTTTATTTACTATCTACGTTGCAGCCGATGGTTTTCTTGCTATCTTTTTTACGCGTTAGCCCCGGGAAAGGACAATAGCGTGTTCCATCCCTACCGCAGACCAGCAGTTTCGAGTTTTGCAAATATCTCAGCAACATTGTGGTTATATATCCTTTCTACTCCAAGGTTTTTATTCTGCACTTTTCTGTTCCGACCGCGAGCCACCCAACCACAAATTTGGTGCCAGAAGTGGTCCGGAGAAATACATTTTCTACAATCATTGATTCACGAAAATCTTTTCCAGCAGTGTTTACTTGTTGAAAATGCCACAAAGATTAATAATGGAGGGAATGCAAATATACACTCACTGGAGGAGGTGCTGCCGATTCGTAGGGTGCAATGGTGTACCTACTGTACTTGTACACACGTTCGACACTCGAGCCTGGCTTTTGGCTCCGGTGAGATGGTGAATCTTTGAGGGAGACTTTTATAAACGACTTTGTAGTAGGTAGAATTTGTGGAATAAATAGTCTGTAACGAATTTCACGTTCACAAACGTTCACAAGGTCGTCTTATGTACGTTAAAGATTCGCGACTCCGTGCAACATTCCACTGATTGTGTAGACATTGAGTTCAATCATATATTACAATCTACATGCTTACATCGTAAGTTTTACAAATGGGGTGGATAGCCCAGTGGTAGTGATATCCGTCATCACGAGCATGGTGCTAGTTCGATTCCGCTCCAAGAAAACCAAGCCTCTCATCCCTCCGGGGTAGAAGAATTGGTACCGGACTTCTCTGGGAAAAAAAATTACTCTCTATAATCCTGTTGGGAACGCTCTAACCCGGTTGTCTCAGGGCTCCAAGGAGAATTGCTCGACCAGTGTTCTACGACATTCAAGATAAAATGGAAATCCTCAAAAAGCAACCAAAGTCACACGTAAAAGTTGGAAGAACTTTGTGGGCAATGAATGCGAGGAAATGAACTGGATGTGAGAAGTTCTGCGATCCGTACAGTAGATCCGGCTCAGAAGACGACGAAGGGGTGGAATCGTCAGCCAAATAAAACTTGTTGCGAACTTCTTTTTTGCTTGAAAATCCAGGAAACTAACGTCTCCTTTCTTTGCTTTTTTCCAACACGCAGCTTAGTGCGGTCCCTTATTTCAGGTTCAAAATTGAATTTTTCCAGGATCGACTTTCTCTTAACCTCGGCATTGGAATATGAATGTGTCGTTTTCTTGTTCAGCAATCGCAAGGTTTTTAAAACAGCGTACATTTATTTCCATAAAAAAACACAATACAATACAACGCTAGCTGACGTTTCGGCAACATCGCCTTCTTCAGAGCCTGGAAGGGTATACTGATATACAATCTACCAGGCCAAACGCTTCAATAACACTTACACAAAGACGAAAGACTCTTTGGTAATTACACGATCAACAACTTCTCGAAAAACCCACCGCTTACTCGTGACTTCCAATGAGGAAGGTTAGAACAGCTGATTATAGTCGCATGTGGTTGACGACTGCACCATCCCATATCAAAAATCGATGCGAACGTACGGGATCAGGTCGCGTACGACCTCCGGGCATTCATCCCTGCTATTCATTGTAGGGTTTTGGCATTGATCCAAAAAGCCTCAAGGAGTTTTCGCGCTGGTGTTTTGGACTCCTGTGCAAGGATATTGACTTTTACTTCAAAATCGTCTCCGCTATGCTTTTGTATCCTATGCGTGCCTAGCGGGGTGCTTCGTCTTAGTTTTCTTTTGCCATCTAGGTGTTCTTTTATACGGATACACAAAGGTCTGCCCGTTTCGCCAATATATTCATCTCCGCAATTTTTACAAGAGATCAGGTATGTCGTACCTGAACTCATGCGATCACCGTCCCTGCCGTAAGGGCAAATTACGCAATTTGTTGTTTCACACAGACGGTCATACAGGCGGTTACGAACTAAATGACGACGTAGAGTAGTCGGTGGTATTTCAACTATCGCTACCGATTCCTCTAGACCTGCCCTTCTCAAGCATCGTTTTGTAGCTACGCTTACTTCATCGCTTATAAAAGGCAACATGAACGGGACTTTCTTTTGGCCAAGTGTTTCGCGTGGGCGCGTCGTTCTCCTTGTAAACTTATCTCGTGGGGTTACAATTTCGTAGCCATTGGAGATGGCTATCTGCCTAATTTTTCATTGAAAAGCCTGATTTTTTATCGTGGGAGAGTAGGAAGATTTGTATCTTGTTGGCAAAGGTCTGTATATTCTGTTGAAAGCGATAATTGTTTCTTGGCTCATGCAAATCTGAAGTGATGATTGATCAATAAATTCAAAAATTGGCACCCTCAACTACCAGGGGGGTTTCGTTGTTTTCAGTATAAAAACCATAGCCGTTGTTCTGTGACCCTTGAGGAGAATTCTAGAAATGCAAGCTCAACCGTATATAAGGCGCCTCCTTCCTAATGAGGTCATTGCTGTTCCATCTTTATTCCATCGGATGGAATGTGCGGATACAAAAGTCGTAAAGGGAAAACACAGCATAAGCAGTTTGTAGTGGAACATTGTGGCCGGTGTGACCTTTACAGAGGTCAACTCGTTACTGATGGTTTATTTTAGCATGGAGAAAAATTGTTATAAATTTCTTCTGCTCAATCGATAATTTACTCAATTCAGATGCTGTTGCGGGCGTGAACAGAAGAAAGCACTTAGAACTACTTAGAAATATCTTTCTACTTCTGTTCAGCAAACACGAGGTGCTATTTTACTTCTTTTTTCTTTTTTTTCTATTATTTTTATTTATAGAAATAAAATAGCACCTCGTGTTTGCTGAACAGAAGTAGAAAGATATATTCAATCAATGCCGAGGTTAATAGAAAGTCGGACTTGGGAGCTACTTAGAAATATTCTGCACTTCGAAATGCGCAAAAGCTTTTCCTCGAAAAATTTAATTGACTAGTAATTTGATTCGTAACTGTTCAAATTTTCGTCATTCTAATGAGTCATAATTGTCTTAAGAAATGCAAGAATATTTTCCCAATGGTTGACCTCCTCATCATGGCTAGGAGGTGTTCATGGGTGCTGGGCTGAGGTGTACATCGAGGAGATTCATCCCCCCAGCAGAGTCTCTTTTCTTTTCCATTCCCACTCTCTTGTTCTCACTCAATCAACTTTTCATCGAGAGTGACGGGGAAGAAGTTGAAGATGAGTCAAGGAACATCCAGTTCTTCCTCTCGAAAAAACTTAAAACGGCGAGTCGGAGAGCGAAGATGAGCCAGCCGATCACGTAATTGGTGAGCGGTCAGCTGACACACAATATTTTTGTCCAATGTAGGAAGCATTACAGGAATGCTGTAGAGGCAGAAGCTGCCGTTTACGGGAGATATGCCAAACATGGCAAAAAAGTGTCAGTTTTGAAAATCCGTCACAAGAGCAATCAAGAACATGGAGCGTTGCATGTGTACGTTCAGGATTTCATTTCTTAAAACTCGGGCGAAGCCAACGAATGTGCTCCATGATCGAATTTCGGAATAGTCATCACATTGGACTCGAATTTTTATAGCACACTGGGCGATCACCAAACCCGCAGAAGTAAGCGACTGTTTTTGGAAACATAAGAAATAAAGTAAATGAAACACATGGCGATGATTAATCCCTGAGGGATGCGCTATGCGTTGTACTTCACCAAGCATCGTTAGAAATGAGTGAGTGCATATCTGGCCTATAGAATGATTAGTGGTGAGCTACCAATGTGCCGAGTCAGATCTGCCATTCTGCTAGGCAGATCTAGTACCAATTTGCCGACACTGGAGGGATCGAAAGCTTGGTGAGCCTGGACGCTGCATCGAGCCGACAACAGCGTGTGTATTGCAAGGTTCTTCTAACCACAGCGCTACACGCGCTCTTCGTTTTTCTCATACATATTTTGTAAATGCACCCATATATACGAGAAGATGAGGTGAAAGGTGCGCCTCATATTCAAAAGATGAAATGGAGGGCGATTCCACAACTGTGTTTTTCGCGGTTGGGTCACATGGGAGAGGTGATAAATAACTTGCACGAGCTCCCTTGATGTTAAAGATATCAGTTGTTTGGAAAACCGGAGAACATACCCACCCTATCACTTTAATGGTCTAAGTTTTTGTGTTTTTCAACACGTTATTTTCTATCTGCATAAACATAAGGCAAGGATAAAACACGAACGCCACTTTTTAAAAAAGATGGCTTTGGTGGTCATAAAATCTCTTCATGTGGATAACGCTCACCCCTTCAAATTAAAAAAGCCTCAGCCAATGCGGAAGTGACAAGGAAGAGATGAAATTGATGATTCCAAGCAAAAGGCCATCCTTTAAAGGGGATAAATGGCTGATCGCGTAGTTTGACACAGCGAGGTTCCCTCGAGACGAAGTGAGTGCCCTTCCTTTGTCCCGATTTTTGCACTTCAGCCAAATTATGCGAAGGATGCCTTTTGCACTGCACAACCCTTCACAGGAAAACGAATGAAACGAAGTTGACACCATAGAAATTCGACAAAGTACGTGAAAAGGCACTG